TAAAAGTATCATAAAAATTACAAAACTGACCAAATTTTCTTAACGCATCATTAAAAAATGCTCTATCGCTTTTATTACGTTTCGATATAAAACAATTAATCTAAGATTTATGATTTTAAATTATCCAAATTTAAATTTAGACTTGACATTATTATAAGTTGATGTTTTAGTAATGTTAGGATTTTGCATTCAACATTATTTATATTATTATAATATTTTATAAACAGAAGATGGAATAACAAAACAGTATATAGCAAAAGCCAATTACTTGCATATAATGTTAAATTAACAGAAATCTAAAACTGCGTAGATGTGAGATGCGCATATTAAAGCCAATAATTTTAATTTTGCAAAAAATTTTGCACAAAATCCCCGATTTTTCCTTAATTTCTCTAACCGTTTTCAATTTCCCTTATTTCCAATTTTGTTGGAACCTTGATATATTAGAGGAATAAGTTGTAAATAGCTCTTATCGCAAAATAGTCAACACAACATGATTGCAAGATGTCGCAATAATTTACCCTGGTGTCACATGTGATAATGAAGCGTTAAAATTTTCATAGCGTGCGTTTCTGCCGCATCTTTTGCGACGCACCGCGACGCAATGCGCATTAACAAACGCGAATGGTTTCGACGAAACGTGAGGGTGTTGACGATGAGGCCCGTAGTGCGTGACATGGGTTTTTTATCATGCACCAGATATATACGCTTCGGCGAATCATTAAATGGCTTGTTAGAATGCGGAAGTACTTCTTGAGCGAGGAAGCTTCGCGTTGAAAGAATTTCTCAACGCATCGCGGCTATCATTTAATGTAATGTAAGCTCATTCATCATGAGTGAAATTACATTAAAATCTTTTATTTCTATCTAATTATCCAATTAAGTAAATAAATATTTCGATTACACCGAAATATTTAATTAACTAATATCCGCTTTAACTAAAAAAATAAGATTTCTCTTAATTAGATTTATTCTTATCGGTCCAATTTCATATTTATAATTCTTGTATTTTATACATTAAAATCTCTTATTTATAGAAAATATTATTCTTGACGTCTTTTAATGAAGATTGCGTGGTTTTATCCGGTGCGGTTATTTCTGCGGTTATTTTCGCTTGATCGAAGTTACGAGTACAAATTTAGTGAAAAGTGTATGTGGAGCGGATGAAAAAAAACGGCAATTCATTCACACTCACGCGAGTAAAAGGGCGACTCCGACCGATACTTCGTCTTTACGAACAATCGCCCATGTATTCTGTACCAGTTTCTTTTGCTTTTCGGTCAGGCCGAGTTTTTCGTCTAATTTATTGTCGTTCAGAAAGAAATCAAACAGACCACGGAACAGTGCCATGTTCGCGTCAGCGTGCGGGAACAGAGCCTGATCTATGGAAAACAATTGCACCGTTGATCAGATGATTATTCCACAAATGATCTTCACAATGGGAGACTTAACTTCTCGTTAAGAACAACTAAAGATATTTACTCGTATATGTGATATTAATGTTAAATGTAGACGGTAATTCTTTAATGTTTCTTTGCAAAACTTGATGATCACTCGATTTAATCACGTGCACTCTCTAAATTTTTTGCAGTGGAATCTTATTCTAAAGAGTAAAATCTTAATCTTTAGAGTGAGATTCCATTCCAAAAAATTTAAAGACTTGTTTTTACAATTAATATCTAATGGAGAATCAGATAAAAAATGATCTCAAAGAAAGATATGAAATATTTGGATGAAATAGTTATTTTTGTCGTATCTTAAATATTAATTCTTTCAAGTAATTATATTTAAATTTTCATATTTCTTACAGAAATCCAATATTAACTAATTTATTACTGAAAGACAATTAATTACCTTGGAGAACTTACTTTAAATATTATTAAAGCAATAATATTTGAATAACATTGCTATCAATACTCAAATAAAATAATTAATTATTGTCTTTCAATATTAAATTGGTTCGTATTATATTTCTATAAGAGACATGAAAACTTTACGATGTTGAAATGTAGTAGAGAAAGAGAAAATATATAATCATATTAAAAAAAAATAGATAAATAAATAAATACTTTCATATGAAAACGAATGTTATCTCTGAATATGTAAACTGCTTCGGCATTATATAAGCGACAGTAATCTGGATTTGCACATTCGATAAAAAGAGAAAAACATTCTTTTTTTACAACAAGATTTGCACGCATGTTGAATATTAACCAACCGATTATTTATTACACGATACAAACAGATCATAATTGCAACAGATAGTTTTCTCGCGTTCTCCGAGATTGATTAATAAAATTCGCGCGCGAAGATCACGATTGTATGATAAAATATTTAACAGTAAGCTAATAAAGAAAATGAAAGGAGCGAATTTAAAGCAAGATCAAGCGTCATTCGAGCGTTTGTACGAGCGACTCTCATTCGCGACATCAATTCAGTCTTTGATAATGCTTTTGAGGCTTCCATGGATGACTTTCTATACAGAAGCTATGCTATTTCGCGGATTATCTCCGTGTTTAGATTCATCATTAGGAGAGCTTTCCAGCAAGAGACACAAATTGACACAAGAATCATCCTGTCCTTGTTCGGTAATCAGTAAGAAACAAAGACAGACAATAATTCTTGTGTCGATTTATGCCTCTGCTAGAAAGCTCCCTAGAATGCCAACGTTTGGTGAACATTACAATTTACTTTATTATGAAAAACAGCCTGATACAAAACGTTGGCATTGTAATAATAATCGATCTGAACACGGAGACAACCGCGAAACGCATAGCTTCTCAATTAAGCCTTTCTTTTTCTCTCGATTTCGGTATCGCAATTGTTTAAATCGCTTGTGAATGAAGAGATAGAGCATGAAAGATAACTGAGCTAATACCAGAGGCAGAGCGAGGAAGAGAAACGGGGCGAGCTGGAAGCACTGCGCGAGCGACTATACGGACTGACACGATGAGGCCTCGCTTATCGAGAATCG